TACCACTGGCAAAATTAATGACACTATTAGAATTACTTTATACCCCAGGGGGATGGTTTATAATGTTTTCACTCATAAAATGTTATCTCTAAAGTGAACTCCAAACCAAACCAAACTCACTGCCACTGAGTCAATGCTGATTCATAGCGACCCCCACTGTGAGTTTCTGAGCCACTAAGTGTTTACAGCAGTAGAACGCCCAGTTTTTTTTTCCTGAGGAGCTGCTGGTGGTTTCGAACTGCTGACCACGCAGGTCGCAGCCCAACGTGTACACACTAGAGACATATATAAGCCATATATATATGAATGGATTTGGGGCTCACACTTAATGCTAGCCCCAATCTAAGAGCAATTCGTTCTTATGACATACCCGTACTCACTATCTTCATGAAAAGACCACTGAAGATAGGAGTGTTACAGCAAAGTCTGCCGAAAAAACAAACAAACAAACAAACAAACAAACAAACAAACAAACAAACAGATGTTGCCTGGCTATCAGGAAGGAAAGAGGTCTTAAAAGCTTGTATTAAAATAAGCAGCCTTTTAAGTGAGGTGTCAACTAAGTCTACATGGAAGAAGCACACCAACTTGTGTGATCCAAGGATTATAACACAATTCAAATCCGAAGGACGGAATGATATAGGAACTTAAATTATGAACATCCAGTTTCCAGAAGCCCCAAACCCATTTACAGCTTGCACACATAGATTTAAGTTTCTGGTGAACCCCCCTGACCATAGTCCAGGGATGTGGATAGCCTTGCTACGAGATAGAGAGCATTGTAAAGTCAATTGTGGAAGATATCATTAGATTAAAATGTAATCCCTTATCATTTGATCTCTCTTTTGACCCATTTTACAGACTGATATTTTCTGCTTTTTTCTATTGATGTTTTTCTGCTTTATTTGGTTATTGTTGTTGATATTTTGCTTCTTGTTTGTGTTTTGGTTATTGTTGTTGATATTTTGCTTCTTGTTTGTGTTTTATATGATTTTCTAGATATGAAATCCAGAAAAGGTAAATCTATAGTCAGTAGCTGGCTTAATAATTACCTAGGGGCATAGGAGGGGAGTAATGGGTGGGGGGAATGGGAAGCTAACAGCCATGAGTAAGAGAAGAAAATGTTCTCAAATGGATTGCAGTGAGGATTGCAGAACTCTTAATATGATTGAATGATTAAACTGTATGATATGTGAAGTATACTCCAAAAATAACTATTTTAAAAGAAGATAACGGAATGTTCACAGGAACTTTTCAAAGCCCTCCCATTGAGGCTGGGCTCCTAGGAGCCTGCACTTCTCCATTTTGACCAGGCATAGCTCTACATGGAGCTGACCACAGACAGGCCTGCCTGGGAAGTTTCTGCATTCTTTGGAAGAGCACAATATGGGGAGGATTTACATGAGCCCCTTCTAGGAGTAAAGAAGTCCTAAAACAGGAGAGGAAGAGAAAGTTTAGACTTCTAGGAGCTCCAGACATTTTACCCCCCTCTTCTCTTGCACAAATCTTATGACTGGATGTACCTTCTAGGGGAAGCATCTTTGGCCCCGCAAGAGTCAAATAGAAAAAAAGCCAGGGTGGATCCTACAGGAGAGCAAGCAGAAAATGCTGACTTTGACTTTGCGGAGGCCTAGGGAACGAGGGAAAACAGCACCTTTTTTTGGAGGTGGTCCAATCCAGTTCTCCAGAGAGAAAGCAATAGAAGGCATTCTGGGCCAAATGATTTCCGTGGAAGGCAGATTGTGCTTTTGGCTGAAGGAACGCTCTAGCTTGAGAGAACTGGAGAGTGGCAGACTGGACACAGAGAAACAAATCCAGCGGTGCCAACAATTCCTTCTGGGCCTAGCTGGACACGAGTTGTGATTGTTGCAATCCCTCCCCCACCCCAAGATCCTATTAGGCAAAACAAGGTCGGGCCCAAGTGGAATTTATATAATGTCTTCCTTTTTTTTCCCCATTGTCCTACTCCTATGTTGTTCCTCCCCCTGCCTCTGCTGGTGGGAAAAGAGAACTACCTAAGGAGTCTCCAATGTCCTCAGGCTACAAACTGTCTTGTTGGGAAGATGGGATGTTTCTGAAGCTTTCTTGTTGATGTCAACTCGGTTCGTTACCAGTGTTCTTCTCAGGAGGCTCATCCAAGTGCTTTGGGGACTTAGCGCGTTGTTGAGAAAGCATTGAATAGAAACAAAAACCAAACCAAACTCATGCCATTGGCTTTCATGAACACTTTATGATGCCAAAGAAAACAGTAGGCAGTGCGCTTCCCTTTAAGCAAACTCAAGATATGATAGTCTGGATTTACAAATGAAGCTGAAAAGAACAAAGCTTCAACGCAGTTCTATGACAGCGCATTAAGACACACGTACGCATAAACAAAGGAAAAGACTCAATTTATGGCCAGCTGTTCTGAGCACAATTGGTTCATCCACCTGCCTCAGACCTGCTTCGCTGCAGCGTACAGGAGAGCTGGCTGTCTGAGCAGCAGGTTGAGTTCCTTCATGAATCTGGTAGGCAAATGTGTTACAACCAATAGAAGACAGAAACAAAGCAGACATTTCAATAGATTTTCTTTCTATTCAGCTTCTAACAAAAAAAGACACTGGCGGCTATTGGGGTAAGTCTTGCCTTAGGATATGGGAACAGGCGGTTAACAACGGAACAAGTTTTCACAGACACTGTCTATCACATTATTACAATATGGATGTGCTGCAACCTATTTTTGTACAGTTTGATGAAGGGAAATTCTGAAAAGAAATCAAGCGTATAGAGGTAGTTGAGTAGCAATATGGGGAGAGGGAGCATTACCTTAATTCCCCTTCATTACAGTGCAAGAGTCAAGTGGCTGCTTAACAAAACACATAGACTCACACACAATCACACCACACACACACACACACAGATGTGTTTGCCACTGTTTAAATGGCTTGCTTGACATTTTCATCCTGGTATTAAAGTTCTCAATAGAGAACTGCATAAAATGAGGAGACTTGTCTATCTAAAAAAAATAAGCCGGAGGGAGTCTATTTCCTCACCTTTTGTTGGGTTGTTTGTGACTTTGACAATGAACTGTTCAGCGACTATTCAAATGATGCCTAAGCTATAGTGTTGCTTTGTAAACTTCAGGTAATCACGTCTGCTGTGGGAGGTGGCTGGAGCTTTTAAATGGCTACAAAATCGTGAAGCAAAAGCTTTACAATAACAAACCAGGAACATAGATTACAGGCACTTCTCTCCGAACAGGAACTTGGTGTGTTTGGAAACAACACCCATGGGTACGTGAACATTTCTTCATTTAACCTCTGGATGTGCGTAACTCAGACCATTTTAAGAAGTCAAACGGGTAATATGTGGACACTATCATTCCAAGAGGAATGGAACGGGTACATTTTACATGGCTGTTTTTCCTTCCTTTCTCACTAAAGTCAGGAAGGGCCACAAATAAACAGCTTTTCAGAAAACATAATTTTCCTTCATATATTAGAACCTCTTTCTTCAGGTCCAAGAAGACCTACCTTTCCCCATTATTTAGGCTACCTTCCATTTGAAGTCTTGTTACATACCTCTACTATGATTCTGCCTTGGTACATAGAAATGGATGTCATGCCATCACATTGGGGACTCAGAGACTAAGTCTCTGACTAAACCTCCCATCTTGGAAATGGAGATGAAATGGGGAAATGGTCCCCGATGAAATCTAGCCCATCAACAGTTCACTATCTGTTGACAGCAAGAGACCTCTGGGTGCTGTGAGCTAGTTTCAGAGCTCCACTACTCCAGGGGCCAGTCACAGGTGATTATCTGAGCCTAAGACAGCTCTTCAGCCAGAGCTGGAAGTGCCACAAGGGCAGTGACTTGACTAGCCTCTCACTGCTAAGGCAGCACTGGGCTAGAAGCAGTCAGCCTTCAGAAAAACCACACGTGAAAAAGTGAATTTTCCGTGCCCCTACATCAGGGCCAAGCACTTTTTTCATCAAGTTACCTATAGAAAATTCACTTTTAAAAACTTCTACATTTTGCTGGTTATTAGCTAGCAGCAATAGTATGGTACAAAGCAGAAAGGCACTGTGTCTGCCTGGTACCTGGTTAAACACACACACACACACACACACACACACACACACACACAAACAAAAAACCAAAAAACCCTTATTGGGTCAGTTCCAAGAAATAGGGAAACTAACCAATAAAATGGTGCAATCTAATGGGGCAAGGGGGCGGTAGTCTTGGCCTCTGGCCCATCTTTCGCTTTGTGTCTTTTCAAGCTGTGCAACACAAGTAATACACAAGTGGTGAGAATGTGCATGTCCAAGTCAAGTACATCCCCAAGCAAGCCAAGGCTTAGCCTTGCATACTGCCTTGCATTACCATGGGAACAAAGCCTTGCTCTAAATCAACCCAGACACGCTACAGGTCAGGGAAGGACAACCCTGGCTAGCCACTTCCTACTTTTGCCGAAGTTGGGGTGGGACTCTCTTATCAAGGCAAAGAATTCTGTGGTGTGAAATTTTATTAGGAGATCAAATCTCCCTTTCTATTTAGATTAGCAGAGTTGTGCTGGGTAATTGATTTTGATTTACCCTGCAACTTCGCACTGCAAGCTTCTCCGGCTCCTTCACCCAGCCTTTTTAATAAAAAACTATTTAGAAATGTTAAAAATCTGCAAAATGCTGGGGTCAGAAATGAAGCTTGACTTCTTATGACTATATTGAACTGTATGGAGCCTCCATTTCTTCATCTATAATATGGGCATAACAAGGGCTCTCACAGGGCGGATATGAGAAAGAAATGGCTGAGTGAGTCTCTGTATGTGGAATCACTTGGCACAGCACTGAGTAAATAGTACATTCTCAACGCATCTTTCTTGAATATGTTACTTCGGGCAGCGGTAAGGAAAGTGGTTATGTGTTGGGCTGCGATCACATGGGCAGCAGTTTAAAACTACCAGCAGCTCTTTGGGAAAAAGACTGGGCTTTCTACTCTTGTAAATAATTACAGTCGCAGAAACCCACAGTGAGGTCGCTATGAGTCAGCACAGACTCCATGACAGTGAGAAGGGAAAACCATGAGCTAAGGACCAAATCCAGTCCCTATAGCATGGCCCTGAAGGCCGAGCAATGCGCTTTGGAGAACAGAGAATGATGAGCTGGTTAGCCTAATGGAGCTAGAACTGAAAGATTCCACTCTAGCAAAAAATTCTATAACACCGAGTAAGACTATTCATCAGCTGTATTGAGATGGGAAAAGTTTGCTGGCATTTTCGCTTTCCCAAGTACTCATGACCCCAATCATCAAGTTATATCATTAACCAAGCTGAAAGGGGTTGGTAGAGGCTAATGCATGTAAAAGGCAGCGTTTTTATGGGAAGTGTCAACCCTGGTGATATTCTGCAGGAACCAATAATCTACTAAGAGTTATCATTCGCTGAGTGTCTCCTATGTGCTAGGCACTGTGAGGAGTGATTTATGAATGCTACCTCACGTAATGGTCATGAACTCTCTCTGCAGAATTGCTCACTACCATTTTATCAATGAGATGACCTCACTCTCACTGTTTTTCTTTCTAGTGGTGATGGAATAAATCCCACTGATTACTAGAGGCATCAGCCTGTCCCCTTACCAGAGCAAATTAGCTGGGAGTGACTAGTGTCATTGTGGTGGTCTAACATCCGACAGGAGGAGGAGAATTTGGACGACCATACAAATGGCACAATTCACCTTGCTTCCCTGCCTTGTCTGTTCACTCTGTTGATAGAACACACCCAAGGTCCCGGTACTTTTCAGGTTCTTCTGGCCCCGAAGGAATCAATTTGCACAAAGAAAAGTTAAGTAAGTGCTTATTCTTCCCTCTTTACCCTCTTTTGCATTCCCTTTCCCTGTACTAAAAACTTTGGCCCCTTGCAACCAAGAAGAAAGGCAGTGTTACAAAAAGCAATGGCTTAACTGTCTGGTTCCTTGGAAAAGAGAATTTTCTTAAAGGATTCTAGCCTATCTGGCTTCTTTCTATTTTCAAATCCAATGAATCCAGTATGAAGTATTTCCCTTTATGTTCGCCCAGGTTTTTGTACTCAATCCTGAGAAGAGGTAGGGTAGAGAGGCTAGTTGGGCAAGGGTGTGGTGTGCCACACTGAACACCAAGCCCTCTGAAGGCTTACATCATATGCTGCCTAAAATCCCATTCTTCATTGAATTGGGAAAGAAACACTAGATACACTTACAAATTGATGAAATAAATGTCTATAAATACGTTACAATAAGAGATACTCCTCTGGTCAGTCCAGAAAACCAATTCATTGAGCTTCACTCTGTATAACAAACAGAAAAACGGAATATTTTCCTCTCTCTGGCATAAGTCACACTCTATGCCAAATTTCATTAGTAGAATATATAGTTAAATTCAAACTGGAATAAAAACAAACCCCCAAACAATGGAATCTGTAAAGATAGATCTTAGCATCGCTTGGATCTTCTTTGAAACATTCAATTGGAAAGATATAAAAATGGTCCAAGAACTGGGATCGAATGAAGTTTAAGAGTGGGGTGGGGAGGCAGTAAAGTAAAAATTGCACATTTCTAGTTTTCTTATTCCTCCTAATCATTTGTTTAGAGTAAACCATACCAATAAATAAAGCAACTGATGTTTCAGTAACGGATACTTAAATAGTGACAAATGTACATGTAGAAGAAGAAAAAAAATAGATACACTAGTGCAAAAAATAAATTACTAAAACAGAAAAAAAGGCGACAGAAAAATTATCTTATATATTGCTAACTAAAACCAGAACTGTTTGGAATGAGGCCTCAAGTCCATGAAATAATGCAGTTACATTATTGAGTATCTTTGCCTCACAGTCCAACCACACTATCATTCATCTAGGAAAGCAAGAAAATTAAAGCAAAACCATTGGAAACATTCTGGAAATAAAAATTTAAAAAATTCTGGGCTCTTAAAAACCTCTTTTCATGTAGTATCTCAGCATCTCAACATCCTGAGACATAAAGTATCAGACAGATCACATTCTTTGGGGCTTCTTACTCAGTCTTTCCCTGTGAGGCACAGCAGGGTCAGACACTTGTTTGATATTCCCTTGTGCAAAGATGTTATTGCAATTATATATATTTACAAGAAGACTCCCCTGGGGCAGCACAGAGGGTGGGTGCTCCTCTTCAGCCATCAGCTCTTACTAGTTTTGAGTTCGGGAAATAAAGGCCACGATGCGCCGGATACCATTCAGTCTATCCTTTAAGGACCTCATGGCTAGGAATGGGAGCTGAGCTCGGCTTTCCAACGGGAGAACTGCTAATAGCCACCAACACCAGGCTGGACCATTTGGGCTAACCTGCAATAGAGAAACACAATGAGTTCACCCTAGTCTTGTGGAAATGCAATCAGCCTGCAGATTTCTAAAGCCTCTCATTGAACATCTCAGTTAGAACCATTCGCATGTGTGGTAGAGACTACTAACTGCTCTTCTCCAATATCCCTCCCCCCTTGCTTGGGCTAGGCATAAGGAGTCCTGTTGATATAGTGGGTACTCACAGTTAGGGATGGTTAGCAGTTCAAAACCACCAGCCATTCCTCAGAGGAAAGATGAGGCTTTCCACTCCTTTAAAGAGTTACAGCCTTGGAAATCTAGGGGGGCAGTTTGGCCCTGTGTTACAGGGTCCCCATGAGTCAGAATTGATTCCGTGACAGTGAGATTTTGAACAGCGTCACCAGAATAAAGATGACACACTCCAGACTTCCTTGTAGCTAAGTCAGGCCATAAGACAAAGTTCTGGCTAACAATAAATGTAACTCCTGGGGTGTGCACTAGGATAGGAACACTTGCTCCCCCTACCTTCTTATTCCTTCCCCCCCGCCCTGTCTAGAATATGAACCTGGTGATGATCAACTTTCTTTATTCAAGATTGGAGCAAGGGTCTATGGATAATAGTGCTTTGTGCCAAAAGAGCCTGGATCCCTGAATGAGCTCATTGATGAGGTGCTTTTCCCCTCTAAGAGGAGCCCTGGTGGCACAAAGGTTAAGCACTTGACTGTAAACTGAAAGGTCTATAGTTCAAACCCACCAGTTGCTCCATGGGCAAAAAGGCCCGGTGATCTGCTGCCAGCCTAGGAAAACCGACAGGCCAGTCCTGTCCTACAGGGTCTCCGTATGTCAGAATGGACTACCCCACTAGGACTTAATGCTTAAGATCCAGTTATTTTTGATATTTGCAAAAGCAGACACATCAATATCTGAACTATACACCATGCCTCCAAGCCAGGGTAATTTTCCCAGTTGGAATATCCACTGCTCAGTTTCTTTCACTTCTAAGACTGTTTAGGTCTTCTCTGCCTTTGATTTTTGGAAGGTTGGCTTTATAATAATCAAGAACTACATTTTGGTCAGGCCACCAACACCTAGGATTCTTTGGGCCCCAAAGATTAATTCATTTGACTGGCCTCAAATCCATGACTTCTTTGCCACTCTGCACCTTTAGCTTCATTTGGATTCTGTGTGCCCCTCGCTGTAGTCTATACCATGTTTCCCATCCTCTGATCAGCTCTGAATAGTAGAATTCTCTTTTACAAAATCAGTCACAAAGATATTTAAGCTGCTGGTGGTATTGGGGGCTGTTTTTAATAAACCTCCTTGACCATGGGAGCTGCTGCACTGACTAGAGCAGGCTGAGTGGTGTGTGTGTGTGTGTGTGTGTGTGACACGCTGTGCCTGCCAAAGCCACATGATGACAGTTTTTATTAAGAAATGAAATGAAACCCAAGATTTCAGATTTCTGTGTCATTGAGCTCTTATGACTCACACTGTGGCATCTGTGAAAGATGTTGTAATCATTGCTAATTTGCTAATCTCTGGTGTTGACCTGGTTGGGGGGGAGGGGGTGCTTTCCAGAAAGTCACCAAAAAACCCAAAATCACTGTTATTGACTCAATTCCGACTCCTAGTAAATCCATAGCACAATGTAAAATTGCCCCTGCGAGTTTCCAAGATGGTAAGTCTTCAAGAAAGCAGAAAGCCTCGGCTTTCTCCTCCCCAGGGAGTGAAGTGAAGCATTAAACTTGCTCAGGAGCTAGCTCAGAGCTCTGCAGTCATTCTGAGTCCCAGTGGCCCTGTGCCAGGAGCTGAGGCAGTGGGAAGCCCTGATTAGCAGATCTCCCTTCAACACTCACGATGCCTTTGTGTGGGGAATAGGAGCCACCTCTCTGGCTGGAGAATAAGAGCCACCTCTCTGGGGTGCAGAAAGCAAGCTACTTCTGACCATTAGGGAACAGCTGGATGTCGGTGGGACTCAGAATACAAGAATCAGAGAGGACTTGAAAGACCACCTTTCATTTTAGAGATGAGGGAAATGCTGAGAAAGGGCAGGGAGACTCAGCCAAGGTCACATAGGCAGAGTGGCAAGCAGGACCAGTCTGCTGGCAGAAACAACAGACTATGTGTAATCAGATGGTCCTCTTGTGAAAGAGTTGGCACTGAGGGTAGGTAATGCGTTAAGAAAGAGAGATAATCATGTAGGAGAGACCCAGCTTAGAATATGGGAAAGGGTGGAGATATTCCAACCAAATATTTTCCCATCATTACCCTCCAATAGGAGCCAGACTTATACCATGATAATCTGTCAGGGTGATAAGATAGATGCATAGAGGAGTCAACTAAATCCACATGGAAGAAACACACCAGCTTGTGTGATCCAAGGATGACAATTACAAAATTCAAATATGGTAAGGAGAAAAGCATCAGAGCAAAAATTATGATCATCCAATTTGTGAGGACTGTGGGGACAATGGGAGTCCAAAACCCATCTACAGAGTATCTAGTCAGACTTAGCCATTGACAGATCCGCACTAGCCACAGGCAAGAGTCTCTAACAGCCTTGCTCACAGGCAGAGACCATTGTAATCTTGATTATATTGGATTGACCTTGATACTTGGCCAGTTGACCACTCTATAGAGGGGACCCGAAAATATTCTGGGTGCAAGTATCTCTTACTAGTTCTATGGCAGAAATTTCTTCCCTGGCTTTTTGAATGCTGTTGGGAGTCTCTCCCTTCTTACACATTATTTGTATCTTTGTTTGTATACTATTATGTTTTTTATCCTTACCACCTTAGCATGATTTTGTTATTTATTGTTTTCTGTTGGGTCTCCCAGCTGTGAAGCACAGGAGGAGTGGATGCATAATGAGAATATCAGATACAAAGGGATATAGGAGATATAGGGAATACAGGGGTGGTGGATGAATGGTGGGGAGGGTAAGGGAATCTCAGCAGTAAGTGGTAAAGACGTGAGCGGGGAGGGAGCACTAGACCGGATTGTGATAGCTTAACTCCTCTTGGAGTGATTTAACCATGGTGGGGGGCATGTTCTGAAGGAATTGATGTGGGTGTGATTGTACAATTCTCCTTGATATGATTGAACTATTGAATTATATGATATGTAAAATACTTGCCAATAAATGGTTGGGAAAATGACTGATAAATAAATAAATAAAAAGATACATGCATAAGACAAGTCTTAAGTGAAGGTTTATCTCGGGAGTGTCATAACTCTCTGTTATTGCTACAAAAATTAGGAGGTAGAGCCAACTACCTTATAAGATTCCAGTTGTGAGACCCATCCACCTATATACAACACTAGACCTTTGTTCTCACTGCTGTTGAATCCATTCCAATTCACAGTGACCCTATAGGACAGGATAGAACTGCCCCTGTGGGTTTACAAGATTCTGACTGTTGATGGGAGTAGACAGCCTCATCTCTTGCAGGAGTGGCTGGCGACTTTGAACTGCTGACCTTGTGATTAGCAGCCTACTATGTAACCCGCTGCACCACTAGGGCTCCTTACTTGAAGATAATTGTGGGAGAAACTAAGGGCAGCTGGCAGAGAAAACACACTATGGACATTCAAATTGTTGGTGGTGCCTGTGCGCTTGTTCCCTCACCTAACTTACCTCCCCAAATCTGCTGTAAATACCTATTGCTTTACTTTAGTAAAGGAGCCCCAGTGGTGTAGTGGTGATGTGTTGGGCTGCGATCCACATGGTCAGCAGTTTGGAACCACCAGCAGCTCCTTGGGAGAGACTTTCTACTCTCATAAAACAGTTACAGCCTCAGAAACCCACAAGGGGTCGTTATGGGTCAACATTGACTTGATAGCAGTGAGTTTGGCTTTGGTTACTTCAGTTCACCTGATTCTCACTTGAGATCCTTTGGTCTTCCCCATAATGCCCCACTGCCCAATCGGATAATACCATTTTCCTCTCTAGTTTCACTGTACTTGTTTTAGTGGATAGCCAATCTTATAGCCATCCAGCCACAAATCCTCAGCACTCTTTCATGTTCATCTGGTGGGGAAATCTGTTACAGATAGACATTTTTATATACCTGGGGATCGGCATCTTTCTCTGGCATAGGACCAAAGTGGTGAAGTATCCGGTTCTTCAGAGCTGGTTTGAGTGAAAGGAACCACAATGATGCTCGCTCATATACACAGTTATGTAATGTCATCAGCTCAGCACAATCTTCTCCCTGAACCTGGAATTTATCAGAGTGGAAATGAAACATTCTATATCTTTTCCTCCACTCCAGGAACCATTTGGGGCAGTTGTCTCTCTGAGCATCCCTCCTGTCTCCCTAGGTGGTCACAAGTTTATTTCTCTTATGTGATATGGGAAAGGCTCATGTGAACACTGCTGGGGGAGGAAGAAGGGTAAAGGTTCAGCTGGGTAAGCAAGCTGATACAGCAAGGCACTGAAAACCAGAGATTCCAACTGGCCTGAATGGAAGGAGGGATGCTCTTCAATTATGTGGCAGTGATGTATGCTTTGGCCTGTTTCCTTTTTTAACCTGGGGTTTCCTGCTGCTCCCTAGGAAAAGAGACATGAACATGTCTGTGTTCTCAGTGTGCAACTATCTCTCAAGCCAGAAATATTTATTTGTGGATCAAGTCTTTGCTCATCTTGTACTGGGCGGGGAATGCACGTGTACTGTAAACAAACAGTGGCTTATGTACCTCTGCTTCCATTTACTAGCTCAGACAACCAAGGAATGACTGGACGTGCAGTCTTTCCACCTTATGAGATGATGGATTACAGGGAGGGCTCTCGGCCAAGTTACACATTTGAAAACCCTGGCATAAGCGAATCCACAATGATCTCAAAATAAAAAGGTACATAACTAAATACAAATCTATAGAACTCGGGGCTAAATAGGCCTGAAGCTTGGCCTAAGATAACATTGCATGCCCATAAATGCAACTCAGTAGATACTCTGGGAGAGCGCCAGGACAGGAGTTTAGTCTAGCCCGAACAGCAATGCAGCAGTATCTGATGTTGCTGCATCTCAAGGCTCCCAGTTCTGAGGGATTCTTTGGCAACCACCTTTGTGAGCCAAGTTCCAAGGATATCCCTTTCACGTACCTTCTGGTCTTCAATGTATTCGATGTCTGCGGTGTTGTAGCCATCCCGCTGGCCCTGATGGAGCACCTTGAAGCGCCTCTTGCCTATGCTGTCGACCACTGAACGGCCATCTGGAAAGAACTGGACATTCCTAATCTCTAGCATGCAGCCGTATTCTGCAAATCTGTTCATTGAGAGTGAAGGTAAGAAAGTGAATCCTTGGTCAATTCTGTTTCTTTGCCTTTGTCCCCGGTCATTTCTATGAACCCACGATGTGCTTCAAGGGACTTCAGGTGATTTGACTGACCTACTGGCCTAGGGTCTCTGCTCTGGCAGTGTAGTAGTTACATGTGGAATTGCTAACCTACCAGCAATTCTAAACCCCCAGCTGCTCCTCGGGAGAAAAAAGAGGCTTTCTACTCCTAGAAAGAGTTACAGTCTCAGAAACTCATAGGGGCGGTCCTACCCTGTCCCATAGGGTTGCTATGAGTAAGAATTGACTCGATGGCAGTGGGTTTGGTTTTCTGGAGGTTCTACAGCTGCAGTTACATGAAAAGAAACTTCATCACGTTATCCAAACAGCTATCCTTTACTCAGCACATACTATGGCGTCAGGCTCCATGCTGAGAGTTTTATGTGCATTAACTCGTGAATCCTCCTGGCAAACCCAATGAGGCAGACATTATTATTTTATCCACTTCAAAGAAAAGGAGCCGTGGTGGCCCTGCCAGGTCAGGTTTCTTCTGCTAACTCAAGATCAGCAGTTACCATCCACTAACTGCTCCGCGGGAGGCAGATGACACCTTCATCTCAGAAACCCTATATAGGGCGAGTCTCCTTCTTCAGAATCACCTCGGATGCAGAGGGTTTGATTTGAGGTTTAGAGATAAAGAAACGGAGTCACAGAAAAGTTAATTAATTTGCTCCAGGTCAAATGTACTCCAAGGCTGGAGCCAGACTCTGAATCTAGGACCCAAAGCCACTCTTATAAAGCACGTTTTATATCCCAAGTGTATACCAATCTGTTTGACAAAAGATTAATGTCGGGCTTCTTTTACATAGGCAGCCTCTCATAGGGTAAGCTGTGGGCCAGAGAGACCCTGTCTTTATAACTCTTTATGTCTGGAAATGGTCAGGCTTCATGAGCAGCTGCTCTCCGTCTTCTGGAACCATCCCAAGGTAAAAAACAAACCCTTTCCACCCAAGTTCCTTTACCTGTCTAATTCCTTCCTTACCCTTTCACAGGATCTCCCAGGCACATGCCAAATTGTCTCGTGCCTGTCTCGATGCATCGACGCATCATCAGACGATAACAAGGCTCAAAGATGTGCAGGGGACAAGGAACGGTTGGATAGGCCATAGTGCACACGAAGATAGGCACGTCCTTATTCAAGCTGCCAGGAACAAGAAACCACAGGGGTGAGAAAATGGGGCAGGACACAGAAAGGTGGTGCACATGTCACCTGTGGTACCCTGAGGGTGGCGGGGTCGGTAGGGGGGTGCTGTGGGAAGCAAGGAGATTTCAAGTTTGGCTGGCTCTCGGGAAAAATATTGAAATGCAACTGATGCTGTGGGCAGAGGGGTCTAGGCATTACAACTGGCATGCAATTCCTACCCATTCTAACTTAGCTGAAGTCGTTCTCTAAAACGTTCTCTTCATGAATGATATTTATACATCATAATTTTCCTCTTTCACCCTCTCCATGCAAGAAGATCTCTTCAGGTGTTTTGTTGGCAGTATGTGAAAGGGGTATGGATGGTCTACCCAGCTCTCCAAGGGAATGGTGGGAAAGTCTCTGCAGGGTCCCCACAGGCATCTCAGATTTTCAAGGGCCCCAGGGAATCTGCACAGAGGTCTAACTAGAAGGAGGAGGAACAATAGACAAAATCCATCTAGCTTAGTACTGCTCAGCATTTCCTATGCATCTGAGTTATCAGGGACACTTCAGTACAGATGCCAAGGTTACTGAAAGTCAACAGCTCTGGCACTGATACCCAGGAGTCTGCATTTCAATAGGTACCCCAGGATATTCAGCACGGCCCCCTGGGAGTCACTAACTGGGTCAGCTTCTGCAGCATCGCTGTCCTCTTATTTGTCTAGCAATTCCAATCCAGGAATATCTAAAACCAGTGATATATATCAGGCCATTTGGTCAATCTCAAAAGGATTCGATTTAGGAATCCTTTAAGTAGAAAGCCCATCATATCTTCTAGTGTTGGTCAATAAGACCATCCTTACAGAGACACAAAGCTAATGAGACATTTGGAGATATAACGAGGCCCTGAATGGCTTGAGAAGGCCCCTGGTGGGGTAGTGGTTCCACATTAGGGTGCTAACCATAAAAACCAGCAGTTTGAAACCACCAGCCATTCTGTGGGAGAAAGATGAGGCTTTCTACTCCTGTAAAGAGTTATTGTATCAGAAACCTCAAAAGGGTAGTTCTACTCTGTTCTACAGGGTTGCTCTGAGTTGAAATGGACTCAATGGCAGTGATTTTGTTTTTTTGAGAGTAATTCTAATACAAATCAAAGAGATAAAAAAGGAGCCCCATCTCCAGCTTTTCAAGAAAACACAGTAAGAGAGAGGTACAATCAAATTGGTGGCAGAGTTTTAGAAATGTTCTCCACAGGTTGAGCATAAAACCAGAACAACTTCTGCCACCGGGAGCCTCGCCTCCAGAGTCCTATGAGCTCTGTTCCATCAAGGCAGGGGAGAGCAGAGGGACGCAGTGTGACATATGGGGATAGCTGGGTAACTCCTGCTCTTGAAACATTTTTTTAAAACTTTTTATTGTGAATTAGGTGAAGGTTTACAGACCAGATCAATTTTCCATTCAACAGCGCTCACACCTTTTGTTTCAAGTCATTGATTACAATCTCTACAAACTAACATCACATATCTCACTTCCTCACTGTTTCTGGTTTTCATTCGTCTCCTATCTTAATCCTGCTGAACTCTGTCCTGGGCTAAATGCTGACCCTTTGATCTTCTATGGTTGATTACTAAGGTGTGCACATCTTCCTAGTGTTATTGTTCCCCTTATAGACCTGTCAGTTGTTTGGTTGAAAATTGAGCCATAGGGGTGAATTCATCTCCAGACTTGAAGGGTGATGTAGGGCCACAGTCTCAGGGTCCCACCAGTCTGCTGTCATTGGTAGGTGAAGTTTCTTCCAGCCAGCTTGGAACCCCCACTTACTTCTCCCTCTCCCTCTCCCTCTTCACCTCTTACACTGTCTGTGCATGACCCACTGGGCACTACTACCTCATTAGATTTTCCTAACAAGTACACGAGGCAGGAGCTGTTACTATTCCCAAGGTACACATGAGGAAATGGGTGCAGGAGCTGTTATGGTTCCTAAGAAGAAATCGAAGCTTGGACAAGTTAAGTAACCTGTGCCTAGGGTCATAAAAGTATGAAGGGCTTTCAGAAAGTTGGTGGAAAACTGGAGTTTTCCCATGAATCTTTGGAAGCCCTCTTGTATACTTTGTGACAGAACTGGGGCTTATGCCCAGGCCTCCTCCCTCATGCAGTTCGAGACGGTGTCTCGACACGTCTAATGTTTTATTTCCCCAGATTAAGCTACTCCAATGGACTGCTACCAGTAACACACTGTTATTAGTGCCAAGCCATGCCCTGGCCAATGGTTTAGCTTATGCTTCTTCAGTGCTATGCCGGTAAATGTTTGACAAAGAGCGCTCTGAGAGAAATAAGCCCTGGTTTGTAGTGTTTGCCCATTTCTATGCTGTAAATACTCCCATTGTTGCCAATTTCAAGCTACTAACATGATACCACGGAATAAGGAGGGGGGGAAGAGAAATGCAAAAAGAGAAACATATGTATATACTTAGAGAGTTCTTCCATTTCTTCTTCATAAAGCCTCCTTCGTTCATTGAATTCTTCTGGAAGGAATTTAGCTATGAGCTCTTCCATTATTATAGTTTTGCTGTATTTTCTTGAGGTCAAGCACTATATGGAGAAGAATGGGCATTTAAATATTATGCAGAAAACACAAAATGTTTCATTTATGTTCAGAATAGTCAAAGGACCGACAGAGGAGTGTTAACTTGGCAAGAGAGAGAGGTCTGCCTGCCTGGGCATAGCAGAGAAGAAACGGCCTTTTAACGTCCCTGATAAACCCAGTCATTGAATCTTCCGTGAATTCGATGTAACCGTTACAATGAAGTATTGAACCCAGGGAAGTACAGTGCGGTGGGAGGGACTATTACTGTCAGGATTATTAGGAAGGTTAGAGGTTGGGGGCAGGCCTGACAAGCCTTGTGGTGATCAGTCAGAAGTCAGATGTGGCCCCCATGTCATTTCCTCAAAAGTTTCCAACCAGGGCTTTGGAACTGGTTTATTCCATTGGACCCCCTACGAAGAATCTGCATTTCCCCCAGAAGGATTGAATCAGAATACACATTTTAACAAGGCCCCACAAGGTTTTTTGTATGTAAATATAAGAATCACTTGGGGAGATCTATAAGCATCACCTATGGACCCGTTAAAATAAAGATTATGATTACGTTTATCTGGGATGGAAAAGCAACTTCTCAGCAGGGGGTCAACTGGAACGAACTGATTTGAAACCATTTCCAACACAAATTCATTTCACCATTGATAGTTCCTGAAAAGCTAGTGTTTCTTTATTGTCCTGAAGAATTCTGTGGAGAAGGGAGGCATACAGGAAAAACAGGTTTGAGGAGGGATTCTTCCTTGTGTGATGTAGTAGCTCCCGGGATTCTACTTGTCTCAATACCCAAATTCCACTGCTACTGAGTCAATTCCGACTTGCAGTGATCCTACATAGGGTTCTTACAGTATAAACTTTTACAAATCTATCTTGGAAAAAGTACAGCCAGAACGTTCCTTAGAAGAAAGGATGGCGAGACCTTGCCTCAGGTACTTTGGGCACGTTATCAGGAGAGACCAGTCCCTGGAGAAGGCCATTCTGCTTGGTAAAGCAGAGGGGCAGCGTAAAAGTAGAAGCCTCTCTACAAGAAAGACTGGCACATTGGCCACAACCATGGGCTCAAACATGATTGTGAGGCTGGTGCAGGAGCAAACAGTGTGTTGTTGTGTTGTGCACAGGGTCACTAGGAATCGGAACTGATTTGATGGCACACAACAAGAAGAAAACTTTACTAGAGCAGCTAGCCTCCTCCTTCTCCCAAAGAATGGTTGGTGGGATGCAATTGCTGACGCTGCAGTTAGCAGCCCAGTGGTTGCCAGAAAATGCTACCGAGGCTCCTGTCTTAGTGCCCAACTCCAAATAGACTGCCTCATTCAAGAAAGCAAGAGTGTTTTACCTGTAAAAGGCCATCTTTGCACAGTGGACACTTGGCGTTGTGATCTAGACATCTTTCAAGGCATTTTAAGCAAAAGGTATGTCCACAGGGTGTTGTGACTGGCTCATAGAATAATCTGAAATTTAGGAATTAGGAGGGAAGAAAATGGCAATGTCATTACAAAAAGAGAGACAAAACTACTTAATGTTAAAATTTGTATAGCATTGTTTGGGAGATGGGGTGGGTGGTCTTTTTCATTATTGAACACTTTTTAAAAGCAAGGTTTTTCATTTTTGAAATCTGTTTGACATAATGCCTTTTTTGGCTTTAAGGTAAACAAGCGGCCATCTAGCTTAGAAGCAACCAAGCCCACATGGAAGAAGAACACCAGCCTGTGCGATCACGAGGTGTCGAAGGGTTCAGGTATCAGGCATCATCAGAAAAAAAAGTTTTATCATAGTGAACGAGGGGGGGAGTGCGGAGTGGAGACCCAAAGCCCATTTGTAGGCCATTAGACATCCCCTTATAGAAGGGTCTCGGGGAGGAGACTAACCAGTCAGGGTGCAGTGTTGTCATTGTGACATACAACTTTCCTCTAGTTCCTAAATGCTTCCTCCTCCCCCACTATCATGATCCCAATTCTACCTTGCTAGCCTGGCTAGACCAGAGGATGTACACTGGTACAGATAGGAACTGGAAACGCAGGGAACCCAGGGCAGATGATCCCTTCAGGACCAGTGGTGTGAGTGGTGATAGAGGGAGGGTGGGTTGGACAGGGGTAACCGATTATAAGGATCTACAGATAACCTCTTCCCTGGGGGACAGACAACAGAAAAATGGGTGAAGGGAGACGTCGGACAGGGCAAGATATGACAAAATAATAATTTAAAATTATCAAGGGTTCATGAGAGAGGGGGGAGCACGGTAGGAGGGGGAAAATAAGGAGCTGATGCCAGGGGCTTAGGTGAAGAGCAAATGTTTTGAGAATGATGAGGGCAATGAAAGTACAAATGTACTTTACACAATTGATGTATGTATGGATTGTGATAAGAGTTGTATGAGCCCCTAATAAAATGATTGAAAAAATAATTTTAAAAAATATTGCCTTTTTTAAAGTTCAGGGTATAGCTAGATGTTTTTTGTAACATTAATTCTAGTCAATCTCTATGGGTATTCAGAGTTTGTACCCCACTATCCAATCCCAGAAAAACAGATCAATGTTCAGCATGTCTGAATGGAGTTAATTCTAAAAATATTTGGCAACCTGTTCAATAGAGATGCACCTACATATTAACCAGGGTTGCAAACTAGATTTAGCCATGGCGTGCACAGTAACACCTGAACAGGATAAGAATTTTTTAAATGTCGGCGTGACATGGAACAATGATCAGAAATTATGGGGCAAAGCCCTGGAATGGGAGAGTTGAAGAGTCACAGAGAGCCCTTTGAGGAGTAAGGAGAGTGACACACATTAAATAACACAATTGGCTACCATCTTTAAGTGGGGCACTGCTGTTTTGACTCAAAATCCAAGGTGCATGAGATTGGGTTGCTATGCAACGCATATGTTACCCTTGTGTTTTAAAAGGACGATTAAGTGTCTAACAGGTCCTTGACCCTGTCATTTTTCCTGTTTTAAAAATTCAGGTCTAGATTACTCCCTCAGGGCCAACAAGGAGAGTAGAGATACCAGGAGGATTAGGGGAGGGTGGGGTAGAAAGGGGGAATCAATCACAAGGAGCAATGTAGAACCCCCTCCCAGAAGACGAATAATGAGAAAGTGGGTGAGGGGCGACTGAGGACGATGTTAAGATATGGGAAAAATAAAATAATCTATAACTTATCAAGGGTTTGTGAGGGAGGGTGAGCGGGGAGGGAGGGGGAAGAAATGGGGAGCTGCTATCAGGGGCTCAAGTGGGAAGAAAGTGCTTTGAAAATGATGATGGCGGCATATGTGCAAATGTGCTTGACACATTGGAGGAATGTATGGATTGTTATGAGATATAAGAGCCCCCAATAAGAGTATGTTTTTTTAATTCAGGTCTGTTCTGGCTTCACTTTGTCACCTGAAATGTAAGGATTTTACCCTGGAGTGGCACAGGCAATTTGCTCACTCCAAGTTAGAGGAAGAAACAGAACTTTTTATTAAAAGGTGAACACCAGCGAGGAAGGCCGGTGGCACACAGACTGACTTTATGGTGTCCGATGTGAAATCAGAATACATAGAAAATTTATAACCTTTACTTTGGAGGGTGCACTTTACATTAACTCAGGTTTCAGGGTATCCATGGGAAACAATCGTTGACCATGAGCAAGCAAACATAACAATGTTCTTTAAGTTTTAAGCCAGACTCAAGATGTATTTTGTTGACTAAATGTACAGTTCTAAAAATTTCATAGACACGGCCTTAAGTACCTTAGGCTAACTGCATTGTGTAAGGGGGATTTTTAGAATGACATTAAATAAAACAATAGCTTACAACCTCCTGGCTATAACTCACCTGGGAAGAACTGGCTCAAAGTGCATGCTCATGCACACAAACTACGTCTTTCTCTCTCTGTCTCTCTCTCTCAAACACACACACATACACACACACACACACACACACACATTTATCTATTTAAGCAATTTACATATTACCACAGAAAAAGATTTAGCTTATTTGCTACCCTTGGTTTCTCTTTTTCACCTAAGCGATATTTATTGCCTAAAGAATCTCAAAATTGTACCTCTCATGAATACAAAATTGCCTTTTATATGGATGGATAATTTTTGCAGGGGCAGTAAAGTCATATTGTTAATGTGTTACTGAAACACACACACACCAATTAGAACCTATTTTAATTGCTTTAGGGGAATGGATCTATTCAATCTAGAGGTCTTTTTACAAAGGTTGTCCTATACATTCAGAGATTCGTGGAGTTACAGGGTTTAGAGAAAGGCTCATCTACATAGGACCACTGGGTGGGGGTAGCTGATGATGACAGCTCAAAAGGAGGGCTTTCATGTGCCAAAAAGAGGAGTAGAGAAAGAAGGGAAAGAAAGGAGAAGGGAAAGTCACCTGCCCAGCTTACTTTGACCTCCCAAACGAGCTCACAGAGAGGAAGAGGCAACCGAGAGCTCCCTCAGGTCGTCTGGAGGCACACCAGCAGCCAGCCCACACGGCCAGGCTGAGCAGAAGACTCCAAGTATCAGAGCTGAAAAGGACTTGAGGAGAAATTGAATCCCCCAACCTAGAATGAAGCTGAGGTTCAGAGGGGGTGGAGCTGCTTGTCTAAATGTGCTTAAGGGAGAAGGAAGGAAGTCTGTGGGCAGAAGGGAGTCTATCCAATTTACACTTCTTGTGCCTTTTCTTTGGACGTGTAATCAGGAGGGCCCAGTCCCTGGGAGAGGACATCAAGCTTGGTAAAATAGAAGAAGACCCTTGACAAGATGGATTGGCACAGTAGCTACAAAAATTGCCTCAAACAAAAAAAATAGTGCAGGACTGGATGGTATTTTATTGTTCAGAGTTGCTATGAGTTGGCGCACCTAACAAATCTCTGCATAGGCGAACCTTCTGAAGTGGTTTCTCAATAATATAGTTATCCGAGTATCTAATTACCTGTGGAGCTTTCAAAAAATACACAGTCAAGCTCCACTGGTTAAAGTTTGTGACTCAGCAGGTCGAAGGAAGGGGCAGAGGTTTTATATGTTTAACAAGCCAGTGGGAGTGTGGCCTGGGAGAGAGATTTTGATATGTTCCCAATCGCTGTACATTTTAAATTCAATCCTGTTTTTTTTACACACCCCATTGAAAACAAGTTTTTGTTTTAAAGACCTGGATAAGTCCCAATAAAAATCCCAATCACCCTTTCCAATTTTTTTTTTGGTAATACTTGACAAATTGATTCTAACCTTGATGTGGAGAAGCAATGGGCCAAGAGGAGCCAAAAGACACTTGCAAAGAGCAACCATGTGGAAGGGCTTGCCCTACCAGACACCAGAACTTATTAGGAAGCAGTCGTGATGCAAACAAGTGTTAAGATTAGCAGGAGGACAGGCTTGTGGAATAGAACAGAAAGCATGGAAATCCACCCAGAAACAGATTCTTCATTGATGACCAATGTGGCCCTGTCAAGTAGTAGTAGTAGTAAGAGTTGTTTTGTTTTCTTTTTTCAATAAATTCTGCAGGGCTATAGGTCCCCCTTAGTTTATTGCACCATGCTCAACGGCATTTTGCAGATACTGTGATTTTGTTAAGGTGCAGGTTTGTGGCAACCCTGCATTGAGCAAGTTTATTAGCATGTCTTTGCCAACAGCAGGTACTTCCTTCACATCTCTGCATCACATATTGGTCATTCTCACAATATTTCACCCCTTTATCCTAATGCTAGTATGGCCACTGCCAAGGAGTCGATTCCCACTCCTAGCAACCCTATAGGACACAGTAGAACTGCTCTTTGGGGTTTCTGAGACTGTAACTCTTTAGGGGATCAGACTGCCTCATATTTCTCCCACAGAGAGGCTGGTGGGGTTGAGCCCGCTAACCTTAGGGTTAGCACAGCCCGATTGTTTAACCTATTATTTAATCTATGACACCAGGGCTCCTAACAGATAACAGTCTATTCCAAACCTTTATAGGAACGTGTTGTTGTGAGGTGCCATCAAGTCTGTTTCAACTCAAATCAACCCAATGCACAATAGAACAAAACACTGCCTGGTCCTGTGCCATCTTCACAAACCTGCTTATGTTTGAGCCCATTGTTGCCACCTCTGTGACAGTTCATCTTGTCCAGGGACTTCCTCTTTTTTGCTGACCCTCCATCTGCCTATTTCACCGCCTCTCCGCTTTACCAAGCATGATGTCCTTCTTCATGGACTGGACTCTCCTGATAATATGTCCAAAGCATGTAAGACAAAGTCTCGCCATCCCAAACCAAGACCCAAACCAAACTCACTGCCAGCAAACCAATGCAGACTCATAGCAGCCCTATAGGACAGGGTAGAGCTGCTTCTGTGACTGTAACTCTTTATGGGAATAGAAAGCCCCATCTTTCTCAATATGGAGCAGCTGGTGGTTTCAAACTATTGACTTTGCAGGTAGAAGCCCAGTACATAACCATTATGCCAAGGATCATTAAAAATCAAAAGCC